CTAACCAAAGTATACAAATTTTCATTAAAAAATTTCAAGAATATTTCAAATTAAGAGAATAATTTCTTTTAAAAAATAATTTTTCATAGAAAAATATTTTCTAACATGTAGTTATTTTTCACCAACTAAATGTACTCTTGTATTTTTTTTCTACGTTGTTTAATTGCAATATCACTCTATCACTTTCATCTTTGATTCGTTGAAAAGAAAAGCTATAGCGAAGGTAAACTCCTGACTAGTCTGTTGGTTTAACACAAACCTCCTTAATTAGTTTAATTAATTTTTTTATAAATCTTAATTATGATCTGCTTAGTACAACCTCAAGTTTAATTTAATTTTCACTTAACCTATTTTTAGGACATTTTTTTATAATAATATAATTTGAATTTTTTATTTAATTTCACTTTATATAAAAAAATATAATTACTACTTATATGATATAAAAAAATACCCACAACTACGTACAATGACGGCTCTAAATTTTGGAGGAAGTATAATACTCCAATTCAATGAAGACCGCATCAGGCACTTATACATTGGTCTGTTGGTGCAATTTATATTTTTTTTTTTTTTTTTTTTATGAACAAATTTATAAAAGATCAAATTCAAACTGTTATTCAGAAAAAAAGAGAATACACTTTACATGTGGCTGATTGAATTCGAACTATAATAATATTATATAAATATCCCTTATTCTTATCTCTAAATCGTGATCATTCAAGTACTTAAGCCTTCGGCTCAATAATCTTAAGTCACCCATTAAGTGCGTTTTTTTTTTATTTAAATAATGATTTAAATCCGACCCTTTACAAATTTTTTCAAAAAAAAAAAATCGTAATCATTCAAAAAAAGTTTTTTGAAAAAAAGGGGTTTTCAATGAAGGCCATTTATCTACCCCCACAAGTATTACGTTGATTTTGAGAGAGCGCCACGTGTTCCAGTTGTAAAGTAGAAATGATAATACATTATAAGGTGCTGCTGCCACACGCCGAATCACGAGTAAAATGATCGATCAGTCACACTCTTCTTTTACTTTATTATTATTATTATTATTATTTTATTTTATTTTATTTTTATTTTGCAGAACCCCTGTTTATGTCGGAGTTCTTGCACGAAAGGGTCCGAGGTTATTTACGTGAATTGCAGAATTCATCAAATCAAATTCCTAAAGAGCTGACTACCTTGGGCAGTCTGGGGATTCCTAAACGGCTGACTACCTTGGGCCGTCTGCTGAATCGCAAGATATTTAGAGTTAAATATGGTAAGAATTATCCCCTCAGAATCATGGGGAAGTTATGGCTTGCCGAAATGGAGGAAGTGCTTTATGATACTAATCATATAATTGATGAGATAATGGATGCCAAGATATTCATGCTAACTGCAGAAGTCCAATCAAGTGCCAACGGCCCATGGAAACTCATCCTTAATTTGTTTAACAAGATTTCAAGGTCTATGCATTATTATCAAGAAAAAAGGATGGTTTCCAAGGTGAAGTATATAACTGTTAGATTAAAAGAAATTCTTGATGAAGGAAAGCCTTTATTAAAAGAAATTTTTGATGAAAGGCGGAGGGACAGCTCACAAAGGTTTTTATTCCTGAGACTGAGAGCAGCTAGGCGTGCTGGTAACATTCTACCTCTGTTTGAATTTGCTATTTTTCTACGTTTCTTTCTTAAAGCATTTACATCGGGAGAGAGCCATCATGTTGCATCATCCCAGTTCATATTACTTTCCCTGGTCGCTTTTTATAAATTATTTATACTTCTGTTTGACTTTTTAACTTTTAAAATATAAATTTTAA